TACAGGTAGCAGGTATTTTATCTCAGCAATGAGAAAAGTAACTAAGACAATATAGCTCTTCAAAATGCTCAACCAATTTTAAAAACCTTCTAGCAAGAGACAATCCGTGAGTTATTCAATCTGCTTCAAAATGTTGGCCACAGAAAATGTTGGTCCTGATGTCACATGGCTTTGTTTGTTTGTTTTTGTTTTGGTACTGAGAATTGAATTCAGGATCTTGCACTTGTCAGGCAGGTGTTTATGCCACCAAGATATATCCCTGGTCCTTATCCCATGTGTTTATAAAACTGATGGAAAATTAACAACAATATTCAAGGGGGAATCAAGTTTTATTAAGACACAAAAGTTTGGGGCCGGGGATTAGCTCAGCAGCACAGTGCCTGCCTGGAAAGCTCAAGATCCTGAGTTTGATTTCTGGTACCAAAAAAAAAAAAAGACACAAAACTTTTGTGTGTGCCAAGGGCCTTGTTTTTTGTTTTTGTTCATTTGTGTATTTTTTATTTTTATTTTTTGGTGCTAAGGATCAAACCTAGGGCTTCTAGCTTGCTAGACGAACATTCTACCACTGAGCTAAATCCCCAGCCCCCAAAAGTTTTAATAAGTAGAAGAGAAAAGCATATTCTTTAATAGAAAGGCTCAGTATTTCAAAACCGTCAATTTTCTGTTAACCAATAAATTAAATATGATACCAATCAAAATACCAATGGGATTTCTTTTTTAAAAAAGCTGATGTATTGATTCTAAAATCTATTTGGGAATGAAAGTACCCAAGAATAATCAAGAAATATAAAAAGAAGAAAAAGGAAGTGAGGAAAGTGGGAAAGGAAGGAAAGGAATGAGAAAGAATGTGAACTTGAAAACTAAAAGGAAACCAGCGGAAGGAAGCGGGGTGCCCTGGTGCCACCTGCAACCCCGCACTGAGGAAGGCTGAGGCAGGAGGAGACAGGTTCAAACCCCACTTGGGCAACTTAGAGAGCTCCTGCCTCCAAATAAAATGGATGGATGGATGGATGGATGGATGGATGGAAGGATGGATGGATGGATGGATAAATAGGTGATAGATACACAGACAGCCAGACAGGCCGGGGTGTAGCCCTTGGCTTCGAATCCTAGTACTGGGGAAAAAAATCAATGGAAGAGAATGAAGCTTACCGAGATTGCGGTGCTGGAAAGCACAAGCCCAGTCAGCTCAGCCTAAGGGGCTGCGCATTAACTCCCAAGCTAAATTCCCGAAGGCCGAGAGCACCCAGCTGTAGCTGGGATCAGGAGCCAACACAGCCCAGATCCACTGGCCTGCGGGTGTTGGCTTCATTCACAGATCTGCTTTGACCTCCTGGCTATGTGATAACTGAAGCTGCTTAAATTCCACAAGCAGGACCTTAAATTCCACAAGGACCTTGTGTCTGGTCCCTTCCCTCACCCATACACAGGGACTAAGTCTTTGGGTCTGACTGGCCACCGAGTCACGGGACCAGCTGTGGCCCTTGCCCAGGGCCAGGACAACAGAGGGGCTGGCTGGTTTCACCCCAAGCCTCTCTCACCGAGGGTGGGGAAAGCCAGGGGTAGTCAGTGGACAGGTGCCTGACGCTTAGTGCAGTGACAACCGCATATACCTGTGGACCCAGGACACAAAGGCACCTAACACAGGACAGCCAGGGGCACACGGGGTTACTCACTAAGCAAGTGGGCGACTGCAGATCCATATGCAAAAAGTTTACCCCAGATCAATTAAGGAATGAAATGTAAAAACAACACTAAGTTTATTCAAAGAAAACATAGGGAAGACAAAAAAACCTTGGGCAGGGAAGGCCTCTAATAGGGACACAAAATGTGTAAACAGGACTCTATCCTAACCACAACCTCTCTCTGACAAAGGAAGAGAGTTGTGAGATGAGAGGAACTAGAATAGAGAACTGTCCATCTGTCCGTCCATGACACAGACTGCACTACAATTTTAACCCAGTAATTTTAAAAAGGATGGGTGTGGCGGGCACCCCCACAATGCCAGAACTCAGGAGGCTGAGGCAGGAGGATTGTATCAAGTTTGAGGCCAGCAGGGCTACATAGTGAACACCTGGTGGCCTCCCCCACAGCGGTAGGACAGAAGAAATGGGCGCCCTCACAAGCTGCTGGCGCTGGAGTCAGTGAGAAGCTGTCCAGCCACTCAGAGGAAGCATGAAACGGCTCTGGACAGCGTAGATAAGGGCTGTGGCTCTGGACAGTGTAGACCGGGGCTGTGGCGCAGATTTGCAGAGGGCTGTGGCGGGCGAGGTGACAGAGGAGTCACGGAGAGGTGCAAAGTGAAACTACAGAGGACAGTGCCACAGACACAGAGAAGCCATGGTCCACATGACTTCTGGGAAACCAGCTCTCGGTGTGGGTGCGAAGGGGACCTCACAAAAACATAGGGGTTTCAAGGTCACTGAGCCGGAGAACAGGAAGAACCTGAGAGAAGGTTCAGAATAATCACGTCTCCCCATCCCCTCCCTAAGTCACCCCAGCCTGTGGTTTCTTCTGCAGGTTTGACATTTTTTTCTCCTTTGCAGAAAATGGCAGAGAGGGTTCCCACTCAAAGCCAACTCCAGGAGCCACTTCCAGGAGGAGCAAGGGCTTGGAACCAGGCCCTCCCCGGGCCTCAGTGTGTCATCTGTAAAATGGGAATCATAATAGGTACTTTGCAGTCCTATAGGGAGATCGAATGAGAGGATGACTATAAAGAAAGCCAAATACAGTGCTGGACTAAGTAAGCACTTTACTAAAGAACACAACAAAATAAGCCAAGCTTATAGACGTGGGAACAGGCCTGTTCAGGTGTGCTGAGGCACACAGAGTACAGAGGGCAGGCTCTACAGCAGCCTGTAGCTGATGAAATTTCAAAACTAACAATAAATGCAATATTTATTGTAAACTGTTGCCACCTTAACAATCAAGAAAAAAAGACAAATACGCACAAGAAAAGAAGTCAACAAAGGGTACAGATGATTCCCAAAAGAGAAAATAGTGAATGGCCAGTAAATATAACACGTTCCACCTCCCTGAGGCACTTATCACCAAGAACTATAAAATTAAACAAGTGTCAGATCTTATGTTGAGTCATAAAACTAGAAGAGTTTTTCAAAGTCAGCCTCAGGCTGGGTGTGGCAGAGAATCCAGGCACTTGGGAGGCTGAGGTAGGCGATTGCCACAAGCTCAGTGCCAGCCTGGGTTGAGTTTAAGGCCAGCCCGAAGGACGTAGTGAGACCTTGTCAATAAATAAATAGGTAAATAAGCATCAAAAAATAAAAAATTATCTCAGTACTGTGGGAAGCTGAGGCAGGAGGGTTATGAGTTTGAGCCTATCCTGGGCAGTTTGGTGACCTTAGCAAGAGCATGTCTTTAAAAAGAAAAGAGGGAGGATACTCCTCCACTGCTGAGTCTTCCAAATGAAACATTTCTGAATGACAAATTGAAAGCAGTATGAAAAAACTGCAAATGGGCACCCCCTCTCTCCAGGGTCCCAACAGCCTCTTCGTCCTCCGCTCTGCTCCCTCTCTAGACAGCACAACTCCTGCCGTGGCCACACTCACAACTGGCAGACCCTGATTTGAGACAACAGAACACGGAGAAACACAGGCTGCAGTGCTAACTAATAAGGTAAAATACAATTCAATGCTTGTAATCTTTATAGTGTTTCACTGACTTTGCAGGTCTACAGCCGGTGGTCTGATCATCTATTCAGAGGATAACAGTATGCAGTGTAGCATCTAATGGGGAAATCTCCTTCGGAAGGTGGTAGCCATTGTTAATTCACTGTTATCTTGTTTCGAAACCCTGGATCATTCTCATTGTTTTGTTTGGCTGGGTTTTATTCTGTTTTACCTTGCTTGATTTTATTATATCTGATGGCATGGGCAGCTATTTTGAAGATAACAAGATACATTATGGTAGCTAATTTGGGTTTACTATTATTTTGTTTTAAAGTCCTGTATTGCATTCATTATTTTGTTTTTATTGGTTCTATTCTGTTTGTTTTGTTTGATTTTATTATGTCTGATGGTATTATGTCTGATGGTATAGGCACCTATTTGGAAGACAACAAGAGGCATTACAGTAGCCATTGTTGATTTCCTATTACCTTGTTTTGAAGTCCTGTGTCATACTGTCCTATTTTGATTGGCTTTATTGTTTTGTTTCACTTGGTTTTTATTCTAAAATAAAAAATTTCAAAACAAGCAGAATACACAGGCAAGAGAGATCATGACAACTTCAGGGGACCTAATATGTCTAGGTAGAAACTAGAGGTCATTTTTCAAGAGCAGAGCTGGAGGCCAACCTTCACCAGCCAGAGCACAGGAGATGCCCAGAGAGGGTGGGGCAGGAGGGGGGAGGTGCCAGTCTGGGCACAGGTGCCAAGATGGGGTTAGGTGTGCAAGTAGGTCACTTGGGGAGCAGCCTTGAAAACAAAGAAGGAGGAAGCCCTCCAGACCACAACAGGGGTGCAAAGTCTTCCAAGGTAGAACATAGAGGCCAAGTCTCAAATTGGGGCAGCTCGAGACCCTGCCAGGGCACAGGATGGAGGGCAGAAACAGGGCCCTATCCCCTGTGTGCCCAGGGCTGGCTCAGGCCGCCCACATGGGATAGGTGTATGGTTCATATACTGTGTCAACTTGAGAAGTTTAGAAGTTTAACAGACTCAACAAGGAGTCAAGATCCTTACTTTGTAAAACCAGGACAGTAGGACAGGGAAGAGCAGGGTTCTGCACAAACAAGGTGTTGGATGGGAAGGTGCTCCCTGTGGCAGGTGCTCCTGGCAGCACCTCTGAAGGGCACCGCAGGGAGGACACAGAGGGGCTTTGGGGCTCCTGGGAAACTTCTCATGCAAGGTCCCTACTGTGCCAAGGCCCTGCTGCACTGCTACCACGGTCCCTCTCCTGGTCGTTCTTCGTGGAAAGCCAGCTGGAGCCCCTTTTCCATAGGATGCAACCCAAGAATCTCTAAGTATGACCTGCACAGAATCAGTGTTTGAAGATGCACTGTGAACCATCGTCCACAAATTTTTATTCAGAAGTATCCCCCACTGTAAAGCTATAGATATGTCTTGACAGATGTCTGAGTTACACAGATGTTTGCATTTGCAAAATGTCCCATTTTGCTTCACACACTTTTCCTAGATATACATCTCCCACACTCCAGTGAGAATTAGCTTGTTACCTTATTAAAATAGGGGCTCAGCAGGCAGCCTTGGGCATCCAGTGTGAGATGACCAGGCATGCTCTGGGATGTGAAAGAGGAAAGAGGTCTGAAAAATCCCTCGAACTGTTTAAGATTCAGAAGTGCCACAGGTCCTTCTCAGGGCCCTGAAGGAGCAAGGACCCAACTGTGTCAATTCTATAAGGTCTGCCTCACCCTAAACAGAAATCAGCAGGCATATTTCACATTGAAGCTGCTTTTAATGCTCAAAAGCGCTATACAAAAAAAAAAAAAAAAAATCATGAATGATTCCTCACAACACCCTTGTGAGGTAGGTAGGCAAGTATTATTCTCCCATTTTACAGATGGGGAAACTGAGGCAGAGAGGTGAAGTGATTGGCCAGTGGTCCCAGCACAGCTGAAAGTCAGAGCCAAGCATGAGAACACAAAGGATCCCTCCCAGTTCACCCCTGATCTGACTCTTCAGCTAGACCTTGTCTGCAAAGAAACTGAAGCCTCTGAATACACACAATAGAAACCGGCTGAAAAGGCAGGGGCAAGACATACAGTAGTTTTGCAAAACTCGACCTACGAGGATCGATATTCTTCAACACTGGGTAGATGTGAATGGCTTAGGCCTCTTCTGCCCCTTTCAAAGATCAAAAACTGACACACCCTTCTGTCCTGTTGCTGTTGTTTTAGGTTTTTGAGACAGGATCTCGCTAGGTAGTGCAGGCTGGCCTTGAACTCACTACATAGCCCAGGCTGGCCTCAAAGTTTCAATGATCCTCCTGCCTCAGCCTCCAGAGTGCTAAGGTTACAGATGGGCTCCACCACACCTGACTACATCCTTCTGTCTTTCTGCAGAACTGCATGAGCCCAACTAGCGAGGTTTCCCGGACCCCAGGAGCCAGGTGGGCAGACGGGCTACTTACTGTCCAGGCCTGGGGTTTCAGCAAGCAGCAGCCCTGGCCTAAATGGCAGCTGCAGGGCCCGTCTCCTGCCCCTTTCCACAGCCCTCCCACCTATGGACAGAGGTGACCCAAGAACCCGTAACTGAGCGGGCTGGCCTTTATGCTCCCCCAGGGATCCAGCTCATTCATCCTCCGATCCCTCACAGGGCTGGCCTGGAACCCAGGGGACACCGCCCCATGCCATCCTTGGCCCCAACTCTCACGTTCACTGCTCGCAAGCGCCACCCCAACAACCACCCTTGAGTCAGTCATCCTTCAGGTCCTGCTGGGGGTGCGGGGGGGTGAGCGGGAAAGGTGGACTGCCTGGCCCTTGGTCCAAGTTCCAGGGCAACGTGAGCTCTTCCTCCATAGTGCTGTGTCAGCCTCCAAAAGCGCTTTCTAAATCCCCAAGAAGGGTCCCCTGATGTTTCCAGCTCCCCAGAGACCTCCACATCCTGCCAGCCCAGGGGAAGGGGACAGGGGACAGGAGGGAGAGGCCAAGGCCAGCCCCTGGTCATGGAGGTTGTCCTTGCAGTCTCCCTGGCTGGAGACGGAGCTGAGAGACACTGGCTGAAGCTGCCTCTAAGGTAATCAATCCCGCCGTCCACCCCAGGCAGCTGGGTTCCCCAGGGCAGGGCTCAGGGAGCAAAAAGAGGAGCGGGAGGTGGGCAGCCAGAGGGAAGGGAACTGATGCTGGCTGGGCCATGAGAACATCTGAGGGGGAAGAGGAGGAGAGAAGTGACGATCGGCTGCTTGACAGTTTGGGGCACACGTTTGCTGGAAGCCAAACAGCTGTCTGCAAGGTGCCCACACCAGGTCTCCTGGAAGAGTCCACGGGCCTCTGAGAGGCTGTGCCAACTGCGAATCCAGGACAAAGTTCTTCCAAAAGGCACCCTGCCCTGCCCTGCCATTCCAGGAAGCCTGAAGTCGCTTCTGCAAGGCAGGTTCCCAGCAAAGAGGATCTGAGGAGGGGCAGGAGGAAGCCCCTACAGGAAGTCCCTGCTGGCCGAGGGCTCAGGCCCCGGGCTCTGCTCCTGCCACCGGTGCCGCAGCCTGGAGAAGGGCTGGTCCTCTGTGCTCTCCAGCTCAGGGAAGCCCAGCTGGTTGAGGATCTCATAGACTCCGGCCTTGGATGCCACCTGGAGAGGGACGACAGAGGTGGGGCAGCATTTCAGCAGAGGGTGCCACCAAGTGCATTCCAGCCACTCCAACTCCACCCTTGAGCTGACGCCAACACTATTTATTTCATCTCTGCACCACTGAGGAGGTCAGCAGGCTCCTGGGGACCACCAGCCTGTCAAGTCACAGCTGGGAGAAGGTGGGGTGGGCACTACAGCCTTTGCCCTCAGCCCTCACCAGGCACAGGTGAGGACCGGAAAGAACAGGCATAAAGTGCCCAGGCCAGTAATGGCCTCCCTTGGAGTAGGTAGGGCCTTCATACTGAGCTACATCCACAGCATTTTTTTGTTTTCTTTTTTTTTGTCTTTTTCCTTTTTATTGGTACCAGGAATCGAACTCGCGACTGCCTGCTTGCAAGGCAGGCACTTATGCCGCTGAGCTAAATCCCCAGCCCCCACACAGCACTTTTTTAATTTAAATTTTTTTTTTTTTTTATGTTGATACAGGGCCTAAGTTTCCCAGGCTGGGCTCAAACTTGGAATCTTCCTGCCTCAGCCTCCCCGCAATGCTGAGATTACAGGTACACACCACAATGCCCAGGTCATCCGTCTGCCTGCCAAGTGCAGGTGGCGGGCTGACGACCCATAGCTGAATGAGATGCAATCATGAAGAATAGCACTGTTCCCCCTCCACAGGATTACCTGTCACCTGGGTCCCAGCAAGAGGCCCCCAACCTCTTGGGGCCCACATCCCGGGACACATCACTCTCAGCCTCCGCCTCTCACCTCCTGCATCCAGGCGCTGAAGGGCCTCTGCCAGGAGCGCGCTTCCTCCAGGTGGAGGTAGGCATTGAAGAGGATCAAGCAGATGTAGCGCTCCAGGTACTGCACGCTGCGAAGCTGCAACCTCTGCGCCTCCTGCTCGTCTTTGGCAGCCTTCGCCTGGAGGACAGAACAGGGTGGGGTCAGCACGGGGTCCTCGCTGCCCCCAGACTCACACACCCCACTGTCCTGAGTACGGGCCTGCCCAGGCCACAGGCAAAGCCATTGCCCTTGCCAGCTCTAGCATCAGACAGCAGCTGCCTACCGACAGGAAGCAGGCACTTGGCTGCCCTGGCTCCATTTCCTCACCGGCACTGTGGCTGCTGTCCTGTTCCCAAGGGGTGGCCAGACGAGGCCACACTCTCCACAGGGAGACTCTGCGGCCCCCAAGCGGGGCAAGGCCCTTCAGAGGCAGGCCCACTGTAACTGCTAAGGAAGACCCTTTGCCAGCTCTTGATACCCCTGGAGGGACATCTCTGTGGTCCCGCGGCTCCCAGGCTGGAGGGAAGCCTGGAGCTCCTCGATGTCCCTGCATCGTTTCCCTCAGGGAGGGTTGGGAGGGCTGACTCACTCCTGACCTGGTGCAGCTGCCTGCAGCAGGCCCCCTCCGCTCCCCCCTCAGCCTGGGCTCGCCGGAAGGAGAAGGCCCCCTGTACCCTGCCTGACCTTGACTGTTTTGCAAACGGTGGGTATCAGAGGTGAAGGGGTGAACAGATGGCCTTGGAACCTCCGCTCTCATGCTCTCCAAGGCTGGGGGCGGATAAATGACTGAGAAAGGCCCTGGGAGCAAGAGACAGACGAAGCAGCTGGGTTAGGAAGCCCAGGTGCCCCGCCAAGTGAGGCCATGTGGGACTCGGCTTTGGCAGCAACAACTCTAATCCCTTCTGTGAGAATGGCCTAGGCCATATGCAGGGGACGACAGCAAAGCCTACCAGACACAGGGTTCGCAGAGTGTGTGTTCAGGGGCCACGAAGGCCTGGTGGGCCTGGCCGGGAGAAATTTGCATGAGATGGGACAGCGCAGAGCTCAGGACAGTGCCCAAGATGTGTGAGCTGTGACCAGCTAGCCAGGCCGAGAGGAGAATGTAAGGGACATGAGAGAAACAGGGACTCAATTATGGAAGCCACTAGTGTCACCAGGAGGTTAACCCTCGGACTGGAAGACTGGGTCCACGACCTTCCTATCCATGAGAAGCATGGAAGCCTTAAAACAGAGGCCGAGGCCAACCCCAGACCAATCAGATGAGTAGGAGGCCAGGGCGCATCAGAGGCTGGTGGCCAGGGCTGAGCACCACGGCTTCAGTCAGGGGAGACGCACGCTCAGGAGGAGGGGCTGGGCGACAAGGCCTCCTCCACAGGATACTCCGCCACCATGCCAGACTCTGTGCCTGGAACCCATTGGGGATGCGCTGCCCATGTAGCCCCAGCTCCTCACCCCATAAGATGATGGCCCTAGGGGTCGGGAACTCTGGGAAGGGCACAGCAAGCCCCAGGAGCCAGGAAGGCTGATCTAACAGCTGGCTGCAGCTGGAAGGTACACAAGGCTGCCTCTGTGCGTCTCCTCCTCAGAGGATGGAAGAAAACTCTGGGGTGAGCCCCCCATGCCAGAGTTAACATGGCCCAGAGCCCTAAGAGTCAGAGATGGGGCTGGGGTGTTGCTCAGCAGGAGGGCTCTTGCCTAGCTCAGCAAGGCCTTGGGTTCCATCCCCAGCAAACAAAAAAAGAAGAATGACAGCTGGAGGGGACTGTATAGGATCTTGGGTCCCTGCCCGCCAGTTCTGTCTTTAGAGCAAAGCTCCCAGGGCTGCATGAGTGGAAGGCAACTGGGTAAGCTGCACCCCCCCCCAATCCCTAAGCAGCTCTGGGGGCCCTGGGGACAGAGGCAGGGCTGGAAGGTGGCCGGTGAGCAGTGGCAGGGGCAGTGAGGGGACCCTGGTGACACTGAAACCCAGATGGGTTCTGGTCCTGGTCCTGCTGCTAACTCTCAGTCCCCAGGTTAACGGTCCTGTGCTCCCAGGCGGTGATGCTGCCAAAGAAGCCTTGTACAGGTGACAGAAGGGCCAGAGTAGGCGGGACGATAGAGGAGGAGCATGTGGGCGGAGGAGAGGGGTACGGGGTGGGGTGCGGGTGGGAGCCAAGCTAAGGCTTCCCCACCTGTTGCAGTTGCTGTCGCTGGGGGTGTGGGGCGCAGCCACCTGCTGAAGGATGCCTGGCAGGTAGGGACCAGACACCTACTGTTTGAAGGACTGAGCAGGTGCCCTAAGCCGTTAGCTTCACTTAGAATATTAGGCAATGGCCAAAAGAAAAGGAAAAATAAAAAGATTTTCTTCTGTCCTTTCCCAAGCTGCAGTCAAAACCCTGCAGCCTAATTAGAAACATCTTCTTAGAAGGAGTAAGCATGACCCAGTGTCCCACAGAATGCCATTTGACACCACTTTCCATTGAGGACACAGGAGAAATCTCCCATGGGCATGAAAAGCCCTCAGCTCTCACTCAGCCCTGGCACTGGCCACACCAGCACTGTCCCCTCTGTGGCCCACTTCCGTGGGGATGGAGCCCTGCCTGTGCCGACAGATACGCGTGGGTTAGGATGAGGACTTGGGGTGGAGAGGCAGAGGGAGCTTCTGAGTCCTACTGACAAGGGTAGAATTATCTCTAAATTCAGACCACGGTGTTAAGAGCACGCCTGGCACCTCCAGGAGACCCCGGGGCACATCCTGCCCCATCCCAGGGCTGTGATTTCAGACAATGACCCACCTTCCTATCAGGCCTTGGCTTCCTTAAAAACATTCCATTCTCACCCTGCCCAGGAGAAGGGCAAGCCTAAGCCAGCCACCTCCTGTGCATAAAAATAGTGAAGCTGTTTCTGAGTGACCTGGCAGGCCAGGCTGTCATTATAGCTGCAGACTGAGCCCTAAAATAGAGAAGGGGCCAGGAAGGGCAGCCAGGGTTTAGGGCACTTCAGGCCTCTCACACCTCTGTCTGCTTGGCATGGGTGCCAGCCAAAGCTGCCGGTGGTGCTCTCCAGAAAGGCCCACTGAGGCACAAGCAAGGAGCTTCCCAGGCTATGGCTGAGCACATCATGTGCTGATCTGACGGCACATGTCACTTACAGATGAGGTTCAGCAGATACCCAAAGGCGCAGCTTCCTGAGCTGGGATGGCGCTCCACTCCCCAAGCTCTTCTCAGGACCCCGGCCTCTTTCACCAGTCACGCCCCGCCCTCCCAGGCCTCACGCTTCTCTACTTCTGTCCCTCCTGTCACAGGGCCCTTCCTCTCAGCCAGGTCTGCCCATGTCCAGCTTGTCCCTCAGGCCTGGGACAAGCCTCCTCTCTCCGGAAGCCTGCCCTGGGCACTCCAGCCCTAAGCCCCTTGGCCTCAGCTGCCCTCAGGATGAACCGCATCAGTCAACACTGCAGTGTGCTCCATCTTGAGGTCTGTGACGGCCCCGCCACACTGGGGTCTGTCTCCCCATACAATGATATAAACCAGGGCAGACACCAGGTTATAAGCAGATTTAACACCCCACTTCTCCCCAGTGCCCAAGAGCTTGCATTAGAAATGGGTGGGCAGCAGGTTCACAGCTGGTGAGTAGTACCGAGCCCCTAGGGCACCTCCTGCACCTGGCTTCCAGTGCACCCAGAATCTAGATTCTAGCCAGAGGCTGGAACCCGACACGCACCTCTCCACAGCAGCCTGCACACATGTTCCTGACATCAGCCAGGCCTCCCACACTCACCAGTGGGGTCCCAAACCTGCTGCCCCATCCAAGTGGCAGATCCACCCTTCCTGTTCTTTACACCAAACCCTGATCCCTCCCTCCACCAAATCAGGGAACCCCACCACTCTACTGTGGGACACCTCCAGAGGCTCCCCACTTCTTGCCTCCTTGGTCCACGCCACCCTGACCTCAGTGACAGCCCAACTCTACCTCCTGCTGTTTATTCTCAGCACGGCCCCAGAGAACAGGAGGAAATGTAAGCCAGTGCCTCTGCTCAAAATTCTGCCTAATACCCCTGATGCTTGGAACAGAGGCCGAACCTAAGCAATCCCGACTTGGCCTGCCAGGTCCGCTTCCCGCAGCCTCCAACCTCCCTTCCCTCTGGCCCCAGGCATCATTCCCACATGGGTACCACCCACTGCAGGGCCCCTGAATCTGCTATGTCCTCTGCCTGGAATGCACTTTCCCGAGGCCAGCTTGGCTCCCTGCCTCGGCTCCTTACGGTCTGCACTGACCACCTCTCTGAATACTGCAACCGCTCATCCCACCCCTTCACTGCCCACCACAGACCCGCTGCTGGCTGACACCAGGATGCTCACTTGCCTGGTGTTCACTGTGTTACTATAGCCCAGACTCGGGACGGTGTCTTCCGTTTGCATGGCATTCCAGTACCTACCACAGTGTGCGGCACTCAGCAGCTGTGTGTTAAACTGTGAAGTCGGTGATTAGCACATTCATTAACCCCAGCCTCGCAGGACACCAGGGTCACCTACATCCACCCCTCTGCTTTCCAGAAAGGGAGGCTGAGGTCAAACGGGTGACAGATCTGTCACAGTCACCCACAGCGCCAAGGGTGGAGTCTCAGCGGGAACCGGGCCTCCTGTCCACTCTTGCTAGAAATAGCCAGCTGATGGCTCATGTCCTTAAATTCCTGGACAAGGCTCAGGCTGAAGGGAAAGAGCCTCAGGGGAGAAACAGGAGCAAATGAGGCCAGGCTGAGCTTGGTGTCTCGGTGTCCAAGCTCCCCATTCCGGAAGCTTCCATGTGACCCCCACTGAGTGGCAGGCAATGCAACCTGCTGGCCTCTACTTCCAGCTGCAGGGTCCAGCTCAGAGATGGCCAGAGGATGGTTAGGTGGTCCCTAGAGCTCAGATCCCACTCTCTGCCCACCGCAGCAGCGTGTCCTCCCTGGCAGACAGGGCTGCCAGGCAAGCCACTGTACTTCCTCCAGGACCCTGCGAGCCCCTCCTCAGGCCAGGCTGGCATCAGGCCTCAGCACAGGGGGCTTCCTGCACCTGACCTGCAAGGGAAGGCAGGACCCTCAGCCCATGACGGCAACCCATTTTCCAAAGCCGTCATGTACTGTTCAGAACTTCTAACATGTGAAGGAACTAAGCCTA